TTTGTTTTAAAAAAAGATAAGAATTTAATGTTTGTCAGAGACCAAACAAGGACCATGGAAAAGTACTAGCTAAGCCAGAGAATAAGCCCCTACCCTAAACCGGATGCCCCCAAAGATAAAGAACAGGTCAGGCAGGTCAGGTAGCATAGCAACAGAACAATGGGCCCTGACCAGTGACCTTACCACCTAGCAGCCTCACGACTTGCACGACTTGCACGTAGCCCCTCACCTGCACGTCCCCCTTCACCTGCACGTACGGCACGTCGTGCACCCCTTCCCTCCTCCCCTCCCCCTCCCATACTATATAAGCCTTGCTGAGGAGAATAAAATTTGCAGCTTGATCAGAACACACTGTCTTGCTGTCTTCTCTCGTGTCTCCCCCATCCCTCTCATTCTCTCCCACAGATGGGTCACCCCCGTTGACACTCCGCTGGCCGGGGCAAATGTTCCTTAAACTCGACATTAAACCTTCTTCCTTTGAGTGTATTGTTAATCCCACTGAATGAGAGTGGAAACCACTACCCAACTCCCTGAAGCTTACCTCAATTTTTTGTTTATAAGGAGATAAAAGTTTTAGATATATTAGCATTACCAATGTTTGTAATCTATACTGAAATCTAATTGTAGAAAAGTAGACAACAGATGTCATACCTTGAGTCTTTGTTCATGCTTTTTTTTAAAAGATTTATTTATTTATTATATATACAGTATTTTGCCTGCATTATGTCTGCACACCAGAAGAGGGCACCAGATCTCATTACAGATGGTTATGAGCCACCATGTGGGTGCTGGGAATTGAACTCGGGACCTCTGGAAGAACAGCTAGTGCTCTTAACCTCTGAGCCATCTCTCCAGCCCCTGTTCATGCTTTTTAACCCAAAGCTTTTCCTTTTTTTCCTCTGTTCTGAGAGCTGGACATATAAATTGGACAGAGATGTTTTTAGCATGATGAGAAGCACCTTTGTATCTATGCTTAGAAGACAACCAAAAGAAATTTAAAATCTTAAACTTGTGACTGATAATAGTAGTATTTTATCAGCTTATCAGAGCTCCATTGATTGATATTAAAACTTTGAACCTTCAAAATAGAGGGAGAAAGAAATTGGAAACATTTTTTTCATTACCTTAGACTACTTTCTTATACCTTTACAACTTGCATTTACATACCTTAAAATACTGGCTTTCACATCCTCAGACACTTTCTTAGACCCTCAGAACTTACTTAAGCTTTCACATTTTCCATCTAACTATTTACTAGAGACACAATAGTTATTACTGAGAACGCTCATTGCAAAGCAGGTTCCTTTAAATCCCTGTCTTATTTTGCTCTCCTTTCTCCGTCACACAGGGCAGAGATTTTGGAGGAAACATTTATACCAACATGCTTGGGTCTAGAAAAGGGATCTATAACCCAACTCCACAACCAGCTATCCAATAAAGTAGAACAGCATGAAACAACTTTAATATTAGCCACACTCAAAAGACATCTGAATCCCTGCTGAATCCAGTGACCAGAAAGCCTAGGGATAAATTCTGAGCCCTTGCCATCAGAGCAGCCATGGCAAGCAACATTACTGGAGAGGCTGGTCTGGCAGGGATAGAGAAAACAAACAAAACCAATAGACACAGAACCTAGAAAGCTCACATGCTCAAAGGAAATTACTTAATGAGAAAGTTTCCAGGTGACAACCTCCCATAAAGGGAGAACTGGGGCTGGGTTAGGCCAGGTGGGAGTTGGCTGAGGGGGTTCTATGGCAAAGCTGGAATGAGTAGCAGGAGTACCGAAGGCTTCCAGTGGGCTAAAAGTAGGTACCGGAGAGGGAGAAGGGGAGACTGGAGGGGCTAGAGGAAGAGAAGGAGCTTAAAGTTGAGGCCAATGAGGAGGAGCCTTCTCAGCTGGATTAGAAATGGTTTGTGCTTCATAGCTAGGAGTTAGGTGGGGGAACAGGAAGAAGAGAGAGAGGATTTGGAGCAGAGATAAGAGGAAGTTGGGATATAGACAATGGGGATCCTCTTCCCATTTCCTTGATCTGAAGGATCTGAGTAGTATTGGGATCTAGGCTGTGGTTAAGCAGCCATTTTGATTGGTGCCAAGCATAGAGGCTGGAGATTTTCTAAGAGGCACCCCAAGGGTGAATGAGAGGGTATGATGATACCACTCCCATGGATTGGGGTTGGGGGTTGGAGTAGCCTGTAATCCAGGGTGTCCCCAGGACTCTGGAAGGACCAGAAGAGGAACAAGCCATTTAGTGGGTGTTGTATTTTAAAAGTGACATGAAGAGTCACACCATACAACAGGGCCAACATTGGAGGTTTATTGAGGGGAGGGGAGAGAAGGGGCAGAGAAGGGGCAGAAAAATGGGAAGAGACCAGTCCCTGGGGATGAGAGCAAAGGAAGAGAAAGAGAAAGAGACAGGAGGTGTACGAGGCCTGCCTTTTATAAGGAAATGTAGCGAATGTGCACAGGGGGTGCTCTTAGTGGCTGCAGCTGAGGTTATATACTGTCAGGACCCTAAGGGCAGGCCAGTACAGATGCCTGAATGCTAACAGTGGGTCATCACCACACTCGGTGAGGGTCAGGGCTAACCACTTGAGGAGATGTGGCACTTGGTACCAGGGCTTTCAATGAGGCCTGAAAGCTTGCCAGAAGGCAATGAAAAACCGAGCTCAGGAGTGAGGTCTCGTCGACTGGAAAGGGATGGGGAACAGGTCACATACTATTGTGATGGCCATTCCTGGTTGTCAACTTGACTATATCTGGAACGAACTATAATCCCCAAATGAAGGGCACACTTGTGACCTGGATCTTGAGGCAGGAAGACACATGCCTTTAATATAGACCTTGAGGTTGGAAGGCACACCTTTAATCTGGGCCACACCTTCTGTTGGAAGCCTATGTAAGGACAATGGAAGAAGGAAGGGATATTCTTCCCTGCTTGCCCTCACCTCCATCAGCACATCTGTTCCTTCTTTAAGATACCAGCAGACCAGTTGAGACACCCAGCCTTGTGGGAGTGAGCAGCTACTAGGTTGTTGGACTTTCCATTCATAACTAGCCATTGTTGGACTGCAGCTGGTAAGTCATTCCAATAAATTCCCATATATGTATATAGAGAGGGAGAGAGGAAGGTTGGGAGGGAGGGAGAGAGAGAAGAGAGAAGAGAGAGAAGAGAGAAGAGAGAGAAGAGAGAGAGAGAGAGAGAGAGAGAGAGAGAGAGAGAGAGAGAGAGAGAGAGAGAGAGAGAGAGAGAGATTCATTCCATAAGTTCTGTGACTCTAGAGAACCCTGACTATACAACTATCATAAAAGTCATGAGGGATTACAGGCAGGTCTGAGGGTGGAGGCAGAAAGGAAGCAGGACAGTAAAGGGTCACAATAGCCAAGGAAGCCGCAGGATTGCAGCTCTGAGGGTAGGGGGACAAGGGTCGGTGAAGAGGACCAGCCAGATGTAAGACTGTGGCTGGGAGTGCATCCATCTCCAAGAGTACCGGAGGGGTGCCAGATGCTCAGTGGTCACTTCCTCCGACTTGGGGAAGAGTTCATATCGACCAAAGGGGAAATTTATGGAATTATCCCTGGTGGATGGGGTGCTGAGAGATGGTGAGCTCGAAGGTGAGTGTGTTGTGGGTGGACTGGAGATGAGATATAGGGTCCCAACGTGGCTCAGAACTCAAGAAGGAACACAGGCATCAGGAGAACCTGTCGGCGGCGTTACAGCAGCAATATAAGGGTTTTCTGTCATAAGGGCATCTTGGCAATTAGGAGCCAAGGAATATCACATAATCAAACCATGTAACAAACCTCACATAAGAGATTTATTGGGGAGAAGAACAGAATGGCCGCTGCCTCTGAGCAGGAAGAGAGAAGCAGAGGGCTGAATGGAGGGGAAGGCTTGTATATGGTTTGGAGCATGCGCTGTGAGCTTAGTGGGAAAGTATAAGATGAAACATTGTTTGGCCGTTAACGCTGAGTCATGGGTGGGGGTGGGGATTTCCAAGTTTCTGAGCTCAAGGTCAAACCCCTGGCAGGATGTTTTTCCTTTGACCTTTGTCTTGGGGTCAAGTCAGGGTTCAGGGTGTTTTTTTCTTGGCTCTGTTACCCTACAGTTATGTCTCCATAAATGTCTACACTTGCAGCAGCTGGTCCCATTCATGTGGCTCACAATCTTGTAACATAAGTGATTTCGCCCAGGCTGTATGGCTACAGGAACTACTACTGCACGTGACAAACTGAATCTGTAGCCCGTGGCTCAGCAGGAGTGGTTTTTAAGGAGAAAAATGGGGAAGTCCGTGATAGGATGAGTTGATAAGTCCCGATTGGTCATGTTAGTTTAGCCAAACATTTTTGATAGCTGGACCTTGGTGGTCAGCCTCAGGAATGAGTCAGGCATGAGGAAGTGGCTGAATGAGTCTAATGCGGAGTCTAGTGGTTTAGCAAAACAGTGCGGAGGGACCAGGACCTGTGCCATGTTTGCCACTGTGGGCTTGTTAGAGCCCTTCAGCACTACCTGCCTATCTATCTATCTATCAATCATCTACCTATTTTTTTTTTCCCTTGGTTGAGAACTTTGTCCTGGAACTTGCTAGGTAGGCCAGGCTGGACTCATTCACTCACAGCGATCTTGCTTCTCCCTCCCAAATGCTGGGTTTAAAGGCATGCACCATTACGCCCCGCAGAGGGTGCATTTTCTTTCACGTACTTCATAGAAAATGTTGCCATCCCATCTGAAGATTGATCATTGCTTATGAGATCTTCATCAACTTATCTTCACAGAATTACAGCTTGTCTGAAATAGAGTTTCAACCCCATCCCAACTGACTGGATCGGTTATATTCCCGCCTGCAGCTTGGCTTTTTGCTTCAGAAGCCCTCCAGGTGATTCTGGTGCAAATTCCAGGCGCAGGGCGAGGCTTTGACCTCCCCTCAGGCTGCAGAAGGCGCATCTGCCCGGCACTAGGACCGTGGTCGTGGCGCAGACGCCCGGGGCGGAGCGCGGAGCCAGCTGGATCCGCCCAGACCGAGGCCGCCTCCAAAGCTCCGCGCTCGGCGGAGGCCTTGATCCATGCTAGAGGCGAGCGAGCACCCGCAGGGGCGGCAGGTCTGTGGCGGAGCGGGCTTTTGTTCTCCGTTCGGGGCTCAGGGCTGGGTCTCGGTCACCTCGGTCCCCGCCGAGGGGCGTCGCTAGCGTCTCCGCAGCCCGCTAGGGTCGCGGCGCACGGGGCGGGCGCGCGGTCTGCGGTTGTTGGCCTGACCTAGCGGGCGGGCTTGTTGCAGCTTCACGTTCCTTCCTGTCTCGGAAGGAGAAGCAGAGCTTTGTTTTGCTTTTCGGTTTCTTTCTGGCTTGTCTTCCGCGCCTTCACCGCCCCCGCCCCTGCGACCCGGCGGCATTGCATTGCGCTCCTCCCTCGAACCTCCCAGGCCTGGGTGAACACCGCGGCCCGCAGCATCTCGGAAGCACTTTGCATTTGTGGTACTTTGAGTGCCTTCCTAGAAAAATGAAAAAGCAGGTGAAGTGTGTTAGCTTGGCATGCATTCCAATAGGCCAGCAGCCGAACTTGCGTGGGTATTTAAATTGTCTGCCAAATGTGTTACATTTAAGGGGAAGTTTGTTTCTTGTTAGTATGCTAAGGTCTTAGTAACTGCTTCCCTAAGCCCCAGTCGGGTTTTCTTTTACCAACCCAATAAAGAAAATTGCTAACGAAGTATTTTTTGCTTTGGAATTTAGGACAGTAGTGGACTTGGAGAAGCGCACTTGAATTCTAGTGGCAGGGAATATTTTGAGACTAGCCTAGTTTAGTAGTTTTGTTTTTAGCATAACTAATACCAATTCAGTAAACTTAGTAAATCTCAGTACTACTTTAAGGAAGATAGATATGCCCTCTGATCTTAAAAACGTTTCTTGCTTTTCCTAGGCTCAAAGGCGTGAACATATTCCTTGTGGGAGAGACTAAAAGGTAAAATTGTATTTACAGGTAAGTCTGCACTTTAAAAAGCCTGTCCTGGTTCTACAGGATAACTATTCACATTTTACCGTGGAGTAATTTTTTATGGAATAAAATGTCGTTGAATCAACATTGGTTAAACCTACAGAACTTGGCCTGCCATTGTTTGCAAGCCTTTAATTCCACCGTTTTTTATGGAATAAAATGCCGTCAAGGCACGCAGATCTAAGTTCAAGGCTAGCCTGGTTTACCTAGTAAATTCCAGGTGAATCAGGACCTATATAGTGAACTACTCAAAAACTCCCCCCAAAAGCTGAGAGATGGTGGTCCACGCCTTTAGTCCCAGCACTTGGGAGGCAGAGACAGGTGTATCTCTGGGTTTCGAGGCCAGCCTGGTCTACAGATTGAGCTCCATCCAGGTCAGCCAGAGCTACACAGAAACCCTGTCTCTGAAAAAAATCAGGAAAACAAAAAACAAACTGCCCCCAAACAAAACCCTCAGGAACCAGTGCAACAACAGTGGATTTGATGGCAAAGCTTAAGAAATAATATTATTGGTGCTTAACAGTTTTTATTTATGCCTTAGTTTTAAAACAGGGGAGAGGGTTATTATTAATATTACTATTATTTTTTTGGCAGCATTGGAGATGGAACTTTGAGGGAATTGCTACTGTAGGAGAGGTTATATTAGGTGGTGAATTAAAGTTACCTAGGCAAAGATTAGCTCTTATTTTTAAAATTTTTTTGAAAATTTGTTTTTTTATGAGCATAAGTGTTTTGCCCACATGTAAGAATATGTTGTGTGTACTTGGTCTATGGAGGCTAGAAGAGGGTGTGGATCCCCTCGAACTGACGTTATAGGAAGTTGTGTATCCATCATGTTGGTGTTGGGACTCTACCCCGGGTCCTCTTCTAGGGCCACAATACTCTTAACTGCTCAGTCATGTCTTTACATTCGGTGATCTCTGAGGGTTCCATCTCTCAGTAAAGCTTGTTAGAAAGCCTCTTCTGCTGACGGGGCAGTGGTTTCTGTAGCTGCATGTTGCAGTATGTTATTTGTGTCCAGGTGTTGGCGCCTCCACTTGGCTGTACCCCTCACTGTAAAATCTCAGAAGAATTTTACTTCCCTCTTCAGCTTCTGTAAAATGGGATAACAGTAGTATTGAAAGACCCTGACCCTTCAGGCTTACACCCCCCAAGCCCCAGGAGAATGAGGAACTAAAAAGCTAGTTCCAAGGGCAAACTGACTCAGCCATTATTCAACCACCCACAATGTAACAATGTAAAGAGATTTCTATTAAGAGATGCGCTCAACTGTGACTGGGATAATTGTAAGTGTTCCAGGAAAGACCACTGTAACTTTTGTGTAACCTTCACTCCCACCCTGATACCCCCCTTGAGGTTTTGGGAAGAATGTGCATGGGACATGATTGTACCCACCCTGTGATCAGGCTATGATTTTTGTGAAATTAGCCTCTAGACATAAATCAATCAGAACGAAATTGTATGGGAATTGTAATCTTATGGCTTTTGTGGGTTTTTTCTGCTTGACTCTAGAACACTCTTAAAATAGCTTCTGGCACATAGTAACTGCTTAATAGAGCTTAAGTTTTATTCTGTTAGAGACAGTGTATTTTTTTTCTTTTTTATGACCGTGGACATTTTAAAGCTATACTATCTTGCAGTTCAACTTGCAAGAATAAATTAATGAACTTTGTGTATATCAAACCCATCTCTTGTAGCTTGGCCTGGTCTTGAACTTGCTGTCTAGCTGGGCATGATCTCTCTTGATCCTTCTGGTTCCTAAGTGCTGGAATTAGATTTTCACTCCCTGCTTGTGAGGTCAGATTGCTCAGCAAATTCCTTGGTTACAGAGATCTTGCCCTAGTTTGGTTTTTCCCTTTTATCTATATGATTAGTTCCTTCTCTTTTACATTATCAGTGCCATGATTTTAGGAGCTCAGCTGCTTAGGGAATTGTAATCGTGTTAAAGTTTAAGGGTGAACTTCAGGCATCTTTGTCTTACTAGGGCTTCTTTTCCCATTTCTTTGGAAACCAATCCATGTAAAACAGAAGTGGGAAGCATTCAGTTTTAGATAAAGCAAGACTTTGTAGCAGCCCTGGCTACAGAAATGCAAACTAAGAAACCCTTAAGACCTTGAATTCTGGTTTTTTTTTTTTTTTTTTTTTTTTTTGAGAAGCTTTGCAGGGCTTAAAATTCTTGATATGCTAAATGAAGTTGTAAATGAAAGGTGTAGTTAGAGCCAGCCTAGTGAAATACAATCTCAAGTGAGATTAGAACTATGCCACAAATGAGTGTCTAAGTGAATACTGCCTTTGACCTCTTACCCAGTCTTAGACAAGACATCACAAAGGTGGCTGAAGTCAGGTTTTTATTTTCATATGAAGTAGAATGTATAAATTGAGAGAAACAGGTTCAATTAGAAATCAAACAAATGTTGCTTCAAAGGAAAGGATTGATTTTTTTTTTTTTTTAAAAGAGAGAAACAGGTGAAATAACTTGTTTTGAGCAATTTCGATTGGTGCAGGTGGTCTGTTCATATACTTAGGTCAAATGTGATTGGTTGTTATGTGCACTTGAGTACAGGTGCTGTTGGAGTCCAGAAGAGGGTGTCAGATTCCCTGGAGAAGGAGTTAAAGGTGATTATGAGCTTCCTGATAGGGGTGCTAGGAATTGGGTCTTCTGCAAGGTTTTGTTTATTGATTTATTTATTTTTCTTCTTTCTTTTCCTTCTCTCCCTCCCTCCCTTTTTGGTTTTTGGAGACAAAGTTTCTGGCTGTCCTGAAACTCACTATGTAGCCCAGGCTGGCCTCTAATTCACAGAGAACTACCTGCCTCTGCCTCCTGAATGCTGGGATTAAAAGTGTGTGCCACTCTTCCTGGTTCCTTAAAGTTGTCTTCAGTGTTACTGTGAATAGAAAACCTTCCTTAGTTTCTGGCTTAATTATGAAGAAGTACATTTTTTTCTTTTTCTTTCATTTTGATTTTCTTTTGTTGATACAATATCTTGGATAGCCCAGACTGCCCTCAAGTTCATGAACTTCCTGATTCTCTCTTTAGAGTTGTAGGAATATAGGCATATGTTACTATACTGTGGGAGCCCACAGTGACTTCTGCTTGTGGCTTGATTCCATCTTGATTTAAGGTCAAGCTTGTTTCTGCTCCTCAAGGCTGAATAACGGGATGTTTGGTCAAAGATATGGTTACTACATGTTTTGAGAATTAAGGAGGTGTTTATGATTGTTCGGTGAACCATGGTAACGAAATCTTTTGCTGCCCTTGCTTTGGGTATAAAAAAAAGCTATGAGATACAAATTCGGGGCTGCTGCAGTATTCGAGAGCCCTCCCGATTCTGTCTCTTGTCTCTTTCTTTCTTAATCCTCACTCCCCTATTCCAATTTTGTTCAACAAGTCGGCTGGTCCCAACACTATATCTAGCTGGTTTTATGATCAATCTTGTATTTGTGACCTAGCCAATTTAGTTATTTATTTTTGAGAAAAGGTGTCATGTAGCCAGGGCTGGCCTTAAACTCATGTAGTGAAGGATGATCCTCCTTCCTGCTTCTGCCTTCCAAGTGGTAGGATTGCAGACATGAGCCATCATGCTTGCCTTCAAACAGTTTTTAATTCAATTTAGAACAAATTTCTTTTGATTTTCTATATAGAAGATATTTTCTACAAATAGGTAGCTTTCTTTAATCTGGAACCTGAGTTACTGTCATCCACTCTGCATGCTTTATTGTAACTGCCATGGCCAGAACACCTAGTAAGTGTTGTGTAGAAGTTGCAAGACTGGGCATCCTTGTGTTCCTCTCTCTTAATGTCACTCTTAGAACATTAAACACAGCAGTGGTTGTGGGCATTTTATTTTTTGTAGTTTTATAACCCTCAGCAGTTCTCATGCACATTGATTGTATGTAGATTTTTGATTGTGGTAACAATAGGGGTGTAGGTACCAGCTTTTTTTTGAATCTTCATCCTCACACTCAGGACAGTTATACAGGGATACTGCTAATGGAACATCTTTATTTTTTTGGCCCATGGTTTTTATTGGGCATGGTATCAGTATGTGTACACACAGAGTCCCCATCTCCTTTCTGGCAAATACGTAGAGTGCTCAGGGGATTGCCTCTTGAAGCCCTTCCTGTGAATGTTGATGGTTCTTGGATTATCACTTCAGTTGAGGACAGAATGGCCCTTCTTTTTCCACTACCCTTCTTTGCTGGTACAATTCTCTTGGACTTAAGTTGGAAGGGCAGTTGGGAATATTTTAAATAAACTTTCTCTATACCTATTGAGATCATCTGATTTTCATCCTTTTTTAATTTTTTTGTTTATTCTGCATTAATTTGGGATGTTGAGTGAACTTTGGATTACTGGGATACATTACAGAGTCATGGTATATAACTAATGTGTACTTGGATTTTACTTGCTTGCATTAATATTTCTTGAGGGGTTTTTATGTCTTTATTTGTGAGAGATTATCTTCATTTTGTACAGGGTAATATTGGCTGAAAATAATTCAGTTGGGTGGTTTTCCCTGTCTCCTGTGTAAAATTGATTTTAAACCTTTAAAGATTTAATGTGACTAACAAAGCCATCTGAGCCCAAACATTTCTTTGTGGGTAGCTTTTTGGCAAATTGTTATGGTTTGAATGTAAAATGTCATCCATCCCTTCAGGTAGGGTAATGATTGGGCACAGGGCACCCCACTAGTGGTGTTGTGTTGGGAGGTGCTAGAATCTTTTTGTTTTCTTTTTGGAGACAGTGTTTCTCTATAGCTCTGGCTGTCATGGAACTTAACTCTGTAGACCAGATTGACCTTGAACTCATAGGGATCCCCACTTGCCTCTGCTTCTTGAATGCTGGATTTAAAGATGGATGCCACCACCTGTTGCTAGAGTTTTTCTGCCTGGCCCACAGTCAGGGCAAATCTCTCTCACCCGCCAGTCCCAAGCCTCTCAAACCCGATCAAGTAAACACAGAGACTTATATTGGTTACAAACTG